ATCTCTGGGAGTTCCAGAAGATCTAGAAGAGCTAGTTTTGGGACAGGCACCAAAGCTACAGAGAAAACCTGTCTCGAAAAACCAAAAAAAAAAAAACATTAAAATATTTTTTTAAAAAAAAGGCTTCTGCAGCTCTTCCTGATGACCCATGGGGGAGTGTGCCCATACTTGGTGTGGTGGCTAATATCTCTCAATGTGGACAGCTCCCTCCCCAAAGCACTCCTAAACACCCTTCGGGAATGGAGGTGTGTTCACACTTTCCCTGAGAAGACAGGGTGAAGTGTTCGAAAACAGCTGTGAAATCATGGCCTCCAACAATAGGCAAGCCAGTGAGAACCAGGAATGTAGCACCTATCTCTTTTGAAGCAGGGTCTTCCCTTGTAGTTCTAGCTGGCCTTAAACTCACTACATAGACCAGACTGACCTGGAAATCACTTGCTTGCCTCTTGGCCTCCCAAGTGCTGAGGTTAAGGGTGTGTGCCACCACACTGGGCCTGCAGGTGGTCTTTTGGAGCCATCCAGGGCTGCTGACTTGGCCTGTAGCACTTCTCGCCTGGCCATTGGGAGAACAGTGGACCGTTGTGGACCATGAATGTGTACTCGTGCTGGCCAAACTCCCACACACATCGGCATTCCTGAGGCCAGAGGTCAACTCGGTGGCAGAGGAGGAGTAAGAGCAAGGCGGTGGTGGCGCACATCTTTAATCCCAACACTGGGAGGCAGAGGCAGGCAGATCTCTGTGAGTTCGAGGCCAGCCTGTTCTACAGAGCGAGTTCCAGGACAGCCAGGGCTACACAGAGAAACCTTGTCCCCCAAAACAAATACACATCTGCCATTCTTGGGTAGAATGTGTCTCTGTGATGTGTCAGCCTACTTAGGGCTGGAAGTGACATTTATTGTTGAGTAGGTCTCTAGCCTTCCCTGAACAGACATGATTCCTCTTGAGTTTATACAGTGACAGAGAAGAGGTCAGCCGTCAGCCCTGGGAGCTTCTGCGACTGGAGTCCCCTGCCTCCCTCCCGTGTGTGTGTGCATGTTAGGTTTGAGGGCATGTTCAAGCTTGTGTGTGCTCACCACTTACATGTGGAGATCAGATCAATAGCATTGGGTGTCACCCTTTATCACTCGATCTTAATTACATTGAGACAGGTCCCTGTAACCTTGGTTGGTCTGGAACTCCATAAGTAAGACCAAGCTAGCCTTGAACTCAGAAACCCTCTGCCTCCTGAGTGCTGGGATTAATGGTGCGTGCCTCTGTAAATCCTGAGACAGGGTCTCAGAAATTAGCTTTCCAGTTGGTGGCTGGGACCCACCTGCCTTTGCCTCCCTTTAGTGTTTGGGGTGCCAGCTCTCACTGCTGTGCCAGCTTCTTCTTTTTTTGGGGGTGGGGTTTGAGACAGGGTTTCTCTGTGGCTTTGGAGCCTGTCCTGGAACTAGCTCTGTAGACCAGGCTGGTCTCAAACTCACAGAGATCCGCCTGCCTCTGCCTCCCGAGTGCTGGGATTAAAGGCGTGCGCCACCATCGCCCGGCTGTGCCAGCTTCTTATATGGGTGCCAGAGATTGAACTCAGGTCCTTGTGCTTGCTCAACAGGGACTTTACCCACCGAGGCATCTCCCCAGCCCGAGGCTTCTCTTCATGCAACCAGAGAACCGGTGACACCAGAAATTATATTTTATTTAACATTGAAAGGACTAACATTTCATACAAGGGTGAGAGTAGCCTTCTAATGAAAGCACCTTGTTTGGTTTTAATTCCCTCCAGAGACACAGGCCAGCCCAGGACCGGTCAGCTGGGAGGGCCTTCCCGACAGTGCTGTGCCCTCAAGCTGAGAATTAGTGCAGCTCGCTTGTACACACACACACACACACACACACACACACACACACACACTCACGCTTTAAAAGGTGCTTGATGTCATGTACAGAATTTGGGGCCATTACTAGAGATATTCTGCGTGTTACACATACAGGACACAAAATCAAAAAGAACCACCAGGCTGCAGTTTCTAGAAACTTCCTGGCAGGAACAGAAGCTGTTTAACTTTGTGTGAACATGTCTGCTATCACCACAGGTGTCACCGGAAGGCATCAGAGCCCCCGTGAAATATTAGGGCTGCTCTCACTGGCTGAGCTACTCAGCCTAGAGGGAGGAGCCATCACAGCTTCATATCCCGAATAAGAAAAAAAAAAAAAAACCGGGCAAATGTCAAGTTCCTTTTATTTTCATCTCTAAGTCACTTGCAGGGCAGGTTCTTTTACAGTGAGTCGTTCTTGTAACAGCTCTAGCAGCTAGGGATGACAGGCAGCGGGTCCTGGAGAGAGGGGATGCTGAGCTCCCTGGGAAACCCTGCACACCTCCCTCCCGGTCCGATTCCACAGGATTCCCACAGTGGACGGGGCAGCTCAGAGAACCGGCCAGAAGACGCTCATCTGCCATCCTCTGGACATAGGTAGTACAGGCAGTTAGAAGAGAAGGGAGACAGGCAGAGGTTTCAACAGTCGCGGATTGGCCGCTTATCCCTTTTATCTTTGTGGCAAGAGCCGTTCTTAATCCAGGCAGGAGATGGGAGGCACGGCCTTCATGCATTACCGAGGTCTGCAAGCAGACCTGTAAAAACCACTTAGCTTCCTCAGGGAGGGGCAGCGGTCAGCCCAACTTAGTGAAAACCCGAGGCTCTGGTGACCTGCTGAAGTCGGGTTAACTGTGTCAGAGCTGAGGCCCTGACGTCACCCTTAGGTACCAGGCTTCCATTTTGTTCTCCGAGTCTTCCTCATGGGACTAAGGGCACACCTGCTACATGGAACAGAAGCTGTGGTTCATGGACCAGCCCCACGGGGGGTCCAGAGGACAGTGTGCAGGACCCTGGGCTTGGCCTTGCTTGGGAGGAGGGGGGGGGGATGGAGAAAGCTAATCCTTGCTTGCTCTTGATATCCAAAGCCAGGCCCTTGTCCCTGCACACGGCCCTGGTACCCCTCTCCACCCTGGCACCCCCCCCCCCCCGCTATGAAGTTAGCAGTACTAGTCTGCAGCATGGTATGCCAGCCCCAGTTTGTGGAGAATGTCTGAATCTATACAAACTTTGGACGAAACCCAGGCCAGACCTGAGGACATGCCCTTTCTGTCCCTGTCTCTGTAAGACTCCCATGTCTTTGATCCTCTGACATGATGCCAAGCTACCAGCTGCCCGGAAGAGGATGCCAACTTCCTCAAGCTCATGCTAACAGGGCGGCCTTCACTGGGGCTTCCGTGCCGGAAGGGAGAGAAGCTGTGTGGCTCTAAGGCTTGAATGACCGACCATCTTGGTTCTCGAGCGAAGATCCGTCATGTGAGAGGAACACAGCCTCAAAAGCAAACTCCATCCATTTCTCAGGGCTTCCAGGATCAAATGCAGACGTGGTGGCTGCAGAGCCACCAGAGGGACCACAAGAGGCATAAGATCTTTGGTGAGGAACATAGTAGAGTCCTCAAATGCTACTTATGGGGCTCAGCAGGTCCGCCTTACAGTATCAAGCTAGTGGGTGAGAGGCCCTTTGTCACAGGGTGCCATGAACAGGCGGACAGCTCACAGAAAGCGGACACAAGCAAGACAACAGGGCTGGCCCACAAGCTGGGGTTAGGACTTCAGTATGGATATTCCTGGGCCATGTTTAGAACCAGAGTGCAGGTGGGGAGGGGCCGGATGCCCTAGTCCCACCATAGAGCCACTGGGATGAGGAGGAAAGGTGTCAGTGCCGAGATGTTGGGGGATGGGTGACCAGAGGGGCTGAGGCAGAAGCCTCTGGAGAGGACACATTTGCTGACGTCCCAAGAGACACATGGGAGACAGGTGGGCGCTCAGTCCACCCAAGGCATGACTGGCCCTCCTTGGCTGGATTCTGGTAGTCACCCCGGAAACCAGTGGTGACGGTTGACGAAAGGCACAGTGTGAGATGCACAAGGAAGACCAGGCAGTCTGCAGGTGGACTGGGAGCCCAGCAGGGGCAGGGGCACACGGGCGCAAGTCCAGTTGGCTTTGTGGCCTGTGTGGGAGGGGACTGGAGCGAGGTGGACAATCCCTGCGTGGGGCTGAGGAAGAGAAATGCCCCTGCCAGGACAATGGGCAGAGCCACGGGAGCAACGCTATGAAGGGGAGGTGGGACAGGGGAACCCAGCTTGCAGATGAGCGGGATGCCCCGCCAGCCTGGGTGACGCTGGAGACCTGTGGGGACAAGTGGGCTGGATGATGGTGGCTCCTGGGGAGGCTCACGGGGAACTCTGGCCACGTGCACTGCCTTTAGGAACCTATAACACAAAAAGAAAGAAGAAAAGCCCCGGGTTAGAGGAAGCCACAGGTGAGGGGCAGGCACTTTGCCACTGGCAAACTGCTTGCCTTGGGGAAAAGGGCAGGGATTTCAGTAACTGGTTGCCAGAGTGGCTCTGTCGTGGAGAGCTTTCGAGGCTGTTTGTTTTGAGACAGGTTCTCAAGTAGCCTAGGGTGACCTCAGATTCTCTATATAGCTGACAATGACCTTGAACTCAAGGTCATGCTTCCACTTTCCACACTCTGGGAAGACAGACGGCTTTTTATCGCCATCTTTAGCTGGCCCCATCTCTGGACCAAAACAAAAGGTCAATAGGTTGACTACCTGCTCAACTGAACCGTGTTTTCTTTCTTTCTTTCTTTTTTTTTTGGCCAGGATGGTGCGAGGAAGCTAAAGAGCAAATTCTCTCTCCCATTGCAACAGGAGGTCTCTGCAGTAAGGAGAGAGGGGAGCCTAAGGCTGCCTGCCTCACTGAGCAGCGAAAGCTCTCCATCCCAAGAGGCGAGGGAAGACAAGGAAAGCAGATGCTCCCAGCCCTGAGGACAGGAGGGATAAGAACAGGGAGGCAGAATTATTTGGAAAAACAAGAAAGCATTTGGCTGGAAAATTCCTCAGTACCAGAGGTGAGAGAGTTACACACTTAACACAGAGAGTAATGGTCTCGAAAAAGAGAAAAATCACTTAAAATACACAGCACCAAGAAAAAATAATAACATTTATTAGAGAGGCAGATACGAGGGCACAACTGGAGGATGACAGGCAGATTCTTTTCTCTTAGGATGAGAATAGAAAGAAACAACCATGACAGCTGTATTCAAACAACTTACTCAGAACCCAGGGTTTTACAATAAACTCAAGTGCGCAGCAGCCAGCCGGACCTAGCTACAGTGCAAGAGTCCTCGGGCCTCCCCAATAGTTATAAAAACAAAAAGTGGTTAGACAGAAGAATAACAAATAAATCAGATAGGTAAAAGACTAAAACAACACTGTTCAAAGAATCTGTTCAGTTTTCAAATTGCAATATATACAAATATCCCCTGCGGGGCAGGATTATGGGCCTGCTCAACGAAGGTGATGTAAAAAGCAACATTACCCCACGAGACTCAGAATAATCTAGGATTTTGGCAATGATTAAGTATGTCATAGATACCACACACATACACAGAAAGTGCCCTGGCACTATTTTATAAAAATCCAGAAGGTGCAGCTGGGCAGTGGCGGGCACACACCTTTAATCCCGGATGCAGAGGCAGGCAGGTCTCTGTGTTTGAGGCTGGCCTGGTTCACAGAGCAAGTTCCAGGTCCTGTTTGGAATCCCCCTCCCAAAAAAATCCAAGAGCTGCTTTGAATTCTTGGGAGTTGGGGAGCAGCAACTGGACTTGTAGGGGTTTGGGACATGGGGAACAAGGTTTGGGAGAGGCTAGGTGGGATGATACCTGCCCCCAGGCTGGGGATAGCTCCCAGGTGACTGTTAATCTCAGATATACCTTCCAAATAACAGGAAAAAGCTACAGACAGCTCATCTCTCCCTCTATGCATTTGTTTATTTATTTTCTGTTGTTTTGAGACAAGGTCTCACTATGTAGCCCTGGCTGGCCGTTCCAGGCCAGCCTCGACCTCACAGAGATCCGGCTGGGGTTACAGGCGTGTGCCCCCACCGCCCTGCTCTCTGGTTTCTTACACTGAGTTGTGCTTGCTTTGTGTGGGTAAGCACATGTGTCATGGCATAGGAAAGTCAGAGGTCAACTCTTGGGAGGTGGTCCTTTGCTTCAGCCACGTGAGACCCAGGCTTGGGGACAGATGCCTGTCTCTGTTGAGCCATCTTCCCCTAACCACACCTCCAATCTCCCTTTTCGGACAGCAGACTATAGGAGGAATTTCTATCATTACCACTAAGGAGGCGGGAGCTATCCAGTATCACTCAGCGCAGATGGTGTTGGGCCCGTTCATGTTAGGATGCTAGGGTTCGGTTTAGCAACACACACTTAAAACTGTGACCACCCCAACTTACACAAGGGAAACCCCTCCATTTCACCCAGCAAGCCGTTCACCTGAAGGGGCCCTGGGACGACTGACTTTGAATACACCGTGACAGCGAAAGTTACTCACACGAAACACAAAATTAATGTGCACTGAATGTCAGGTGGGCTGGGCCAGCTTCCTATTTCTGAGACTGTACTAGACTGTGAGGTATGGCTGCTGGGGCCTTGGAGAGGGCATGGGACCCTTTGTGCCACCTTTGTAACTGCCAAGAGCCCATCACTACTTCAAAATATTGTCTTTAGCGTAGCAATCACAAGACTGAGACAGGGAGACAGAGTTCAAGGCTAGCCTGGGTTCCATAGCAAGACACTGGCTAAAAAAAAAAAAAAAAGTCTTTAAGAGCCAGGCGGTTGGTAAGTACACCTTGCTCAATGACACTTCACAGGCCCTTGTGAAATTCAGGAGAAATCATTGCCAGAATCTTGAAACTGTTTCAGGTTCCTGAGCCCAGACAGAGGTATAGCTGTCACTTTTAGAGTCATTGCAGGGGCTACAACTCAGTGGTAGAGAATCTGCCAGCGAGCACACAGCCCGATCCCATCCCCAACCACATTAAAAACAAACAAACAAACAAAACAGCTTATTAAAATGAGCCCCTAATATAGAGGCAAAGATCTATTTTGTGCTTAATAAGATGTAAATAATTTCCAAAGTCAAACAGGAAGGACCAGATGTGAGCCAGGCGGTGGTGGCACATGCTTTTATCCCAGCACTTGGGAGGTAGAGGCAGGTGGGTCTCTGAATTCAAGGCCAGGCTGGACTACAGAATGCGTGTTCCAGGATGGTCAGAAATACACAGAGAAACCCTGTCTCCAACAACAACAACAAAAGGATCAGATGTGGACAGATGCAGCTCCCTGGTGACCTTGAGGTCATGATGAACATAGTTCAGTCCTGGACCACTTCTGGATATCACCAATCCCACTCTCTCCCCTCCAGTATCAGCACTGACTTAAAAATGCAAATTCCCGCATGGCCCAGATTCCTTTAGAACACGGAGACTGTTTATTTTATTCTGACTGTAGTTAGCCAGATCAAATGTGCCAGAAACCACAAATGATGCCTAGGAAGCTCAAACTTTGGGTCTTATAGTTGCCAAAGATTTAAAAAAAAAAAAAAAAAAAACTTCCTCTTAAAAAGGGACTTGCAGGGGTTGTTGCGTGCAGTGGTACACCAGGTTCTGCTCATGGCAAACCTTCTGGCAGGAATAGAACCGAGTATGGAAACATCACGACCCCAGGGTGTTGGGCGACTAGCTGCTGTACATCTGCCTCACCAGCTTGAAGGCACCCCACCATCGACTGAGGCCGCCGGGTGGAGCCAGAAGACTGTCATGTCATGTCAAAGTTAAATCGCTCAAGGAGCACACCTTTCTGGACATATCTTGGTTGTTTGGGACAGGAGCACACCTTTCTGGACATATCTTGGTTGTTTGGGACACTCAGACAACAAAAGGGCCTGAGCAGCAACTGTAAGGACACTCGGTATGGGCACTAAGAAAATGTTATCATCTTTACTAAAGGGCTGGGAGACATTACTCAGTTCCATTGATGAAATAACAAATGTTAACGTTCGTTTACTTAATTTCTACTGAGTCTTACTGTGTAGCCCAGGCTAGCCTGAAACTCGGTGGGATGCTCCTTACTCAGCCTCCTGAGTGCTGGGATTATAGGTATGAACCACCACCACACATTTTAAAAATCTACATATTTTTGTTGAAAGGAATGGAAACACTGATGAGATTTGAGACAACACAGCTGTAAGCAGGCCGGGGCAGCTCTGCACACAGCCAAGGGGGCAGCAAACTCAGGCACGAGATGCCCCAGTTCCCCGAGTGTCTGCATCACTTGCTCTCTGCTGGCCTCTTGAAGGCCTACGGCAGCCAAAGCGGTTGGGAGAGACAACTCCAATGCTTTTAAGGGTTTTTGTATTTGTTTTAAGTGGATTAAATATAAGTCTTAGCACCTTTGGCGTTTTTGTCTAAATAGACTTCGACGTAGGAAGTAGGGACATAGCCCTCCTCGTCTTCATTTCTGCGGATGCGAGTCCACCCATCGCCCTTGTCCTCCTCGATCACACTCAGCATCTCTCCTTCCACCACGGAAATGGTGCCTTCATTCTGACCTGAAGAGGTAAAGGGAGAGGTGAGGTCTCTCGGGCGAGGCTGGAAGGGCCCTTGCAATGGTGTATGTAGGTAGAAGCGGGATGAGATCAGTATGGAGTATGTCCCCTTGGTCCTCTGCACTGCCATGTGTTTTCCTTCCTTAGGTCCTCTGAGGACCGTCCACACCTCCCCACAAGCCCGGGTGAGTCTCTGCTCCTCTCAGGGTTTTTCCTGGGGCAGAGGTGGGGAGGGGGGTGTCCTCCCTCAGCTTCCACAGCGCCTTCTAGCAGGGCCCTCATCTCTTTCCCCTTCTGGCACTTTCTGAAGTCAAGGTTCTACTTTTCTTACTGCCTCTAGGACTGTCCCCTTGATGTCCCTAGCCCCTGGAAATGTAGCCTAGGAGAACTGGGTTCACTGGGACACTCCTCCTACTGTTCTGTCCCACGGCATCTCTGAGCACCCAAGGATCAGCCATGTCGCTGGCCTTGGCTCTCCTTCTCTTTGCTAAGTCATGTCAGTCACAATACAGCTCTGTCTTCTCCTTAGTCAAGGCCCCAAGACAGTTCTTGTTCTTCTTCATATATATATAATTATATATACACATATACATACGTGATATATATATGAAATTGGTATTTTGCCTGCATGCATGTCTGTATGTCTGTGTGAGGAGGAGGGTGTTGGGTCCCCTGGAACTGGAGGTACAGACAGTCGTGAGCTGTCATGTGGGTTCTGGGAATTGAATCCAGTCCTCTGAAAGAGCAATCAGTGCTCTTTACTGTGGAGCCATCTCTCCAGCTTCCCCCAACACCTGTTTTTTTTAAGTTCTCTAAGGTCATTTAAAAGTCAGAGCCAAACCTCTAGATCAGCTTTGGGATTGTATGATGGTTAGTTCTGTCAGGTTGATACAACCTAAAGTCGTCTGGGAAGAGGTCAGTGAAGAACTATACAGCACGGTGGCCTGTGGGTGTGTCTATGGGAGAATTTTTTTTTTCTTTTTTCTCCAAGACAGGGCTTTCCTGTGTAGTTTTTGGCTGTCCTGGAACTCACTCTGTAGACCAGACTGGCCTCAGACTAAGAAATCTGCCTGCCTCTGCTTCCCGAGTGCTAGGATTAAAGGTGTGCACCACGCCACCACTGTTGGGCTTTCGGGTGTCTGTCTTACAACCACCATAAATGATGCAGGAAGGCCTAGCCCTGAAAGCGGGCAGCACCTGAAAGTTCACTGCTGTGTAAAGAAGAAGCTTGGCGGAGCCTTCATCTCTTGGCAGTGGGTGTGAGCGCAGTTTCAGGTCTGTCTTGGCTCCCTGCTGTGATGGACTGGGATCTGGAGCCCTGAGCTAACATAAACGCCTTTTCCTCTGAGTGGCTCTCTGTCAGGGTATTTCATCACAGCCACAGAATGAAATAGGGAGGAGACAAATGGTTTGGGGAACCGTCACAGCAGGGTCACTGTGTGTGTCTGTGTGCGAGGTGGTGTGACACAAAGCAAAGCTTCATTGACGATTTATTTCCCTGAGCCCTGACTGATTCTGCATCCTCTGTAACTCCGGGTGGCACCATGTCTAGGCACACAGGACAGAGGCATGATGCTGACAGTCCACCCTGTTTCCTGGCTGATCCCACACAGGACAATGGCATGCCTGTCGACAGCTTAAACACCATCCTCAGTACAGGTGGAGGAAAAACTAACTCTTCTTTTTTTCAACCAGGTAGTCTACTTTCCGTGTGTGTGTTAGTGTGTATGTATAACTGTATGTGAGAGACTGTGAGCGTGTGATGTGTGTATGTACGTGTGTGATAGTGAGTGTGTAGTGTATGGTGGGCAGAGGTTGATGTCAGGTTGATTATTATTGATTTTCCATCTTATTTATTTATTTAAAGATTCTTTTACTGGGGCTGGAGAGATGGCTCAGCAGTTAAGAACACTGGCTACACCAGGTGGTGGTGGTGCATGTTTTTAATCCAGCACTTGGGAGGCAGAGATCTCTGTGAGTTCAAGGCCAGCCTGGTCCACAGAGTGAGTTCCGGAGTGGGGGAAGAGCACTGGCTGTTCTTGCAGAGGACTGGGATTCTGTTCCCAGTACTCATGCGGTGACTCACAACCACCTGTGACTCCAGTTCCGGAGGATCTGACGCTCTCTTCTGGCCTTGGGAACTAACATGGTTCACAGACACACATGTAGGCAAAACACTCATTCACATAAAATAAATAAATAATTGTCTTCTTTAATTTTACTGTATGTATGAGAAAGAAGGAGAGAGATAAAGAGAGTCCTGATCTCTGGGAGAGAGGGGTCTCCTAGTCAGTTTAGGAAGGCGGAAGATCTCCCCTGGGCAGCAGTACCTTCAAATGTGTAGAGGGCCTTGCAGGTCCCTATGGCAGGAAGTGGCTCCTCATCATCAAATTCATCATCAAAATCTGTGGCCAGCACCTTGAGCTCGCTCTCCTGGCTTTGCTCTTCTGTGTAACTACCATCTGGGCTGCTCAAGAGAGGAAGACATACAGCAACTATAGCGACCAACCTGGAGACGTGGTTCTGCCCGCACCACCATGGGGCAATACCACCTCAGATTGTCAGCCCATATTGGATGGTAAGCTGAGATATTTTCATGGGGATGAATGAGAGGTGATGGAAACAGACGCTCTTGCCTTGTGTTCATGAGAGATTCAGAACTTAGAAGTAAGTACAAAGCCAGATGGCCCCTCTGCCAGAGACGGGGCCCCACAGGTACTGTACCTCTCCCGGTCCTGGGCGCAGTTAGTGACTGTCTGGTGTGTCTGACCGTCATACATTCCACTCTGCCGGCGTGCCTGCTCACTCCGTGCTGGGAGTCTGCCCTCCACCTCAGCCAGCCAGGCCTGGAAGCAAAAACCACAGAAGACTTGGACCTGGGCTAGCCTAGGCTCAACCATGAACTGTCAGGCCTTAGCTCAGGGCTGGAGTCACTTAAAGCTGATGTTGGAAGACCTGGTTGATGTCTCAGAGCCTGCACTGGCTGGCTACGCAGGTGATGCTCCTAGGCAACCACTTCATCCCCCTGCAAAGCTGGGGGAGGGGGTGGGAGGCCCTTGCTCACCAGATTTACCAATCATTCCACATGGCAGAAAGCAGGCACCACTGGGCTACACTCTTGGGCAGCCCTGCAACCACAGATAAATTGCTCTATCCTTCCTTCTGACTCAATCCCGTGGCTCTGAGGTCACCCAGGGAAACCCCACAGCCCGAGGCGTGTCAGTAGGGTGGTTTCCCTCTCCAGGGACATAGGCCAACACTGCCATCACAGAGACCACTGATGGGTGGGGGTGGGGGTCTCCTCGGGTGCCTGCCCAGAGGCACCCTTCCCCTTGCTGCCCCTTCCTTAGCTCCTGTTCCCCACACCTCAAACTTCTGGGTCTCCAGCCGCAGTCTCTCTATGTTCTGGGTGACTTCAGCAAGTTTGTGGTCCAAGCTGGCCGGGTCTCCCATCTGAGGGTTCTTTAGGTACACGTCTTTCATTTTAGTGATAGCGTCCCTGAGAAAGGAATAAGGACAACATGGGGACTGAGGACAGAGCCAATAGGGGTTTCTTTCTGACTGAAAAGCCCTTAACAACCCCCCATCCCCTCTTATCAGTATTGCTCTGAAAAATTAATAGTAGTTATTAATATCCATTATCCTTCTGACTTGGTGACACACACTAGTAATCCCAGCACTCAGGAAGCCAAGGCAGGAGGAGCTCAAATTGGAGGCTAGCCTGGGCTATATAGTGAGATCATGCCTTTTCTCCTTACGGTTTCTTCTGACCAATTTGTTCAAAAGTTCATGATGGAGGAGGGTCATTTGTCTATGTGTTACTTTCATTGGTTAATAAAGAAACTGCCTTGGCACTTTGATAGGACAGAAAATTAGGCAGGCAGAGTAGACAGAACAGAATTCTGGGAGAAAGAAAGCAGGGTCAAACAGACGCTATAGCTCTCCTCTCCAAGATGGATGTGGGTTAAGATCCTTCCTGGTAAGTCACCACCTTGTGGTGCTACACAGATTACTAAATATGGGTTAAAGCAAGATGTGAGAGTTAGCCAATAAGAGGCTGAAACTAATGGGCCAGGCAGTGTTTAAAAGAATACAATTTGTGTGTTGTTATTTCGGGTGTAAAGCTAGCCATGCAGGAGCCGGGCGGCGGGAAGCGGCCTGCAGCTCCTACTACAAGTTCACTGATTTTACTCGTGTGTGTGTGTGTGTGTGTGTGTGTGCGCACATGCAGGTCACATTCATCTATCTCTTGTCTACCTACTCCTTTCCTTTAAAAGAGGTATCTACACGTTTGTTTTTTGTGTGCGTGACAGGAAAGCACCACCTCCGTTTGCATACGGTGCTTCAACGTGGGGCCAGAATTTACACAGAAGACCTAACAAAGCTTAAAAATGATTCTAATCTCTGTGAGTTCGAGGCCAGCCTGGTCTAGAAGAGCTAGTTCCAGGACAGGAACCAAAAGCTACAGAGAAACCCTGTCTCGAAAATCAAAAAACAAAAACAAAACAAAACAAAAAACAAACAAACAAAAAGATTCTAAACACACAAAATCAGAGCCAAGAGCAGCTTCATAGTTCACGTCTCTGACACGGGCCACGGTGAGAGGGCCCGAGCTGCAGCGGGGTGGATTCCCAGCCTCACATGGGCCACGGTTCAGGGAGGGGTCTCCCAGCCGTGGGCGGGTTTAGGGCCTTTTGCTCATGCAGACAAAAAGGGTTAGACAGACACAGTAAAGACAGATTCAGACAAAAAGATCTCAGAACAGATCACAGTGTGTTTGAAAAAATATGTGTATGCTTGGGAGAGATGAGAAAGGGTAGAAACAGCCATAGCTTTAAAAAAATGATTTTTAAAATAATAAAGTCTTTTTTTTTTTAAGACAGTTTCTCTGTGAAACAGTTTTAGCTGTCCTGGAACTCATTTTGTAGACCAGGCTGGCCTTGAACTCACAGAGATCCACCTGTCTCTGCCTCCCAAGTGCTAGGATTAAAGGTGTGTGCCAGCACCGCCCAGCTAAAATGATAAAGCCTTTAAAAAGGGAATAGAGTAATACAAAATAACGAGCCACATAAAGATGGACAACAAACAGAGAATCTGGATTATTTATACCATTGTGCTGTCTTTGGATTGTTTTGACTGTTAGTGAGCAAACAGCTGCTGAGAGATGTCTGATTATGAAAGCTGCTAGATTAAACCTATATGTTTTAAAAATATCTTGACTTCAAAATTTAAGTCAAAAGATATGCTACTTTTGGAAAGAGGTTCTGCTTTTATTTCCACAGAAAATGAGAGGCTGTGGATTCATTCTGGGTTAAGAAAAATTGGGTTTGATTGAGGAAGACCCAATGAAAAATCTCTGATGGGAACGGATGGCCCAGATGATCCAATGTTTCAGAGCGCCTTTGTTAGTTTCCTCTGAGTTCTGCATCCAAAACAGCTCAAGGCTGCTGGCTGAGATGATCCAGCCTCACATAATACTCCAGTCAGGACTTGACCATAATTCTAAATTTTCTTAGGGTCCCTCAAAGATCACTAGGAAAGAGTCTAAAAACTACACCCAAATTCCCAAAATATTCAAGAAAAAGAAAGAAGAAAGGGAAATGTGATATAGATGTGATATAGAAATAATGGGGGGAGGGGGCTGGAGAGATGGCTCAGTGGTTAAGAACATTGCCTGCTCTTCCAAAGGTCCTGAGTTCAATTCCCGGCAACCACACGGTGGCTCACAACCATCTGTAATGAGATCTGGTGCCCTCTTCTGGCCTGCAGGCATACACACGGACAGAATATTGTATACATAATAAATAAATATTTAAAAAAAAAAGAAATAATGGGGGGGAAGAGTAGATTATTGAATCTACTTTAATATAATAAACAACAGTTAATCTCAAATTATTTTACATTGGTATGGATTTTAGTTGATTAATATAAATTTAAAGTTAATTTGTTATACTATATATATTTCTATTCTTGTTTAAAGTATTGTGTTTATACAGCTTAATTTAAAATGTAATGTATAGCTGAGCGATGGTGGCGCACGCCTTTAATCCCAGCACTCGGGAGGCAGAGGCAGGCGAATCTCTGTGAGTTCGAGACCAGCCTGGTCTACAGAGCTAGTTCCAGGACAGGCTCCAAAGCCACAGAGAAACCCTGTCTCGAAAAACCAAAAAAAAAAAAAAAAAAAAGTAATGTATAGTTAATAATGCAGAACTATTATAGTTGAACTTACAGTCATGTTAGGTTTTCTAGATATACTAAGATAAATTTCAAATAGATAGTAATCTTCAAACACTTCAAAGACTTACAGAATATGGCATTTAAAATGTATTAATAACTTAGACTTTTTTTTATTTATTCATTATGTATATAGTGTTCTGCCTGCATGTTTGTCTGTGGGCCAGAAGAGGGCACCAGATCTTATTACAGATGGCTGTGAGTCACCATGTGGTTGCTGGGAATTGAACTCAGGACCTCTGGAAGAGCAGTCAGTGCTCTTAACCTCTGAGCCATCTCTCCAGCCCTAACTTAGACTTTTCATGACAGTGAGACACATCAGCTCCTGGCAGCACCAATGTACGCCAGAAAAGATGATGGGCATCAAAGAAATTCCCTATGGAGTCTGTCCTCTTTGTGGCAAAAGCTAGCCATAGGGGCGAAGAAACTGCCCTTGCCTCAATTGCTGAGAGATACTGTCCAAACGGGACCAGCAGGAAGCAAGAAAGGCCACTGTCAAATTTTGCCAAGACAAAGTAGGGCAGATGACAGTTCTTCAAAATCCTCTGTTTCACAGGAAAGTCTGTGAGCTACGCTAGGTCTGTGGGCCAGCGTTGGATGCCCTAGGGCTACAGAGGAACCCTGGGTGACTGTCCAGGCAGCCAACTGTTTCTGTCATTTCTCATATTTTTTGGAAGTTGCTTGCCTACATTTTCTGCTTACTCAGGTAATATTATTTTCTTCTCAGGTCTTTGATGGAGTTGAAGACTAGACAATTAATTATAGTTGCAGTTTTTCTTAATTATGATAAAAGATAAATTTGATATAAAACTTTAAACTCACTAAGATGGGATAATTATTTTTTTATAGTTTTGTCAAATACAAATAGACTAGATATTGTACCTGTAATTCTTACTTGATAACTGTTTTGTTAAATCTAATTTTACTATGTTAGAGTTAAAATCTTCCTTTTTGATTAGGCGGAAAGGGGGAAATGCTGTAGGTTAATCCTTCTGTACACTGCAAATATGTATTACCCTAATTGGTTGATAATAAAGCTAACTTGGCCTACAGCAAGGAAGACTATGACTAGGCAGGAAAGCAGAGAGGAAGATGGGAGGAGTCAGGGAGAGATGAGCCAGCTGTTAGGGAAGCAAGATGCTAGAGGACAAGCAAATTTATGAGCCATGTGGTAAAATAGAGATTAACAGAAATGGGTAAAATCTGGTTAGTAGTAAGCCTGAGCTATAGGCTGAGTGTTTTATGATTAATATAAGCATTTGTGTGATTATCTGGGACTAGGTGGTTGGAAGAGGAATGCTCCACCTCCATTTACATGTGTGTGAGTGTGCAGGTGAGCATGCCTGTGTGAGTACAGAGGCCACAGCAGTAAGCGTATCTTCTTCACTCCTTACCTATTCCTCTGAGGTAACCAACCACAAGAGATCCCTCCACCTAAGCCCACTGGGGAGCTTGGGTTAGAGATGTTTGTGGGGTGCTGGGCATGTTTTGTGGGTGCTGGAATCTGAACCCCAGTCTGATTACACAGCAAGGGAGTCTAAGTGTGGAGCCCTTGCTCTAGCCACTCCCCTTGTTTTTTGAGACAGGATCTGGCCACCAATGGGGTTACAGACCTGCACGTCTGTGCCTGGCTTTTACACGGGCACTGGGGATCAGAACTCAGTTCTTCACGCTTGCACGAGTGGCACCTTTCCCACTGATCTATCTTCCCAGTCCTCATTTTACTTAAGTCTTTAAGGAACCAGACTTTTGTGTCTGTAGATTCTTTTTGAACAGCATTATTTTCTCTTGGTTTTTCAAGACAGGGTTTCTCTGTGTAGCCCTGGTTGTCCTGAAACTTGCTCTGCAGACCAGCTGGCCTTGAATACACAGGGATGGGACGGCCTCTGCCTCCCAAGTGCTGGGATTAAAGGAGTGTGCCACCACTGCCCAGCTTTTTTTTTCTTTTTAAAAACAAGTTATTTTCATTATTTTTGGTGAGGTGTGGAGAATATGTGTGCACATGAGTGTGAATGCTCTCTGCGGCCAGCGGCATCAGCCCCTCTGGGAGCTGGTGTCACCTGGTGTGGTTCTGAGAACAGAATCCAGATCCTTTTCAAAAGGAACACACACTCTTAACCACTGAGCCCTGCCCGCCTTCCTGCTTCTGTTTGGACACTGGGCCCACTCTACATTGCAGGCTGGCCTCACTGGTCAGCAATCCTCCTGCCTCAGACTCCAACCACACAGCTGCTCTCTCCTGTCTATGATGACCTTAACCTGCTGGCTCCTCCCAAATTTCATGAAGGGGTGCCTCAGTTAACTCACTTCTGTTTTTTTTGTTTGTTTAACTCAGTTTTTCTAGATGGGGTCTTTCTGTGTAGCCCTGGCTGCCCTAGGACTCACCTAGAACCAGGTTGTCCTCGAACTCAGAGATCCACCTGCCTCTGCCTCCCGAGTGCTGGGATTACAGGTGTGTGCCCTTCACCCCCTGCTGATTTTCATGTTTTAATGTGTACTGTGATTCAGTAGTAGAACAACTGCCTAGTATACATACAGAGGCCCTGAATCCACCCCAGCACAGCCCATAAACAAAACAAGGTCTCCAAGTCCCAAAGAGATAGTAATTCTTTTCTCTCTCTCTCTCTTTTTTTTTTTTTGAGACAGGGTTTCACTGTTGCTTTGGAGCCTGTCCTGGAACTAACTCTTGTAGACCAGGCTGGCCTCGAACTCACAGAGATCCACCTGCCTCTCCCTCCTGAGTGTTGGGATTAAAGGCTTGTGCCACCACTGCCTGACTTCTTTTTTCCTTTTTTAAAAACATAGCCGGGCGATGGCGGCGCATGCCTTTAATCCCAGCACTCGGGAGGCAGAGGCAGGCAGATCTCTGTGAGTTCGAGACCAGCCTGGTCTACAGAGCTAGTTCCAGGACAGGCTCCAAAGCCACAGAAAAACCCTGTCTCGAAAAACCAAAAAAAAAAAAAAAAGAAAAAGAAAAAAATAAAAGAAAAAAATAAATAAAAACATAAATCTACTCAACAAAAATCAATAAAAAATAAAAAACCCAGATAGAAAAAAAATCTATATTTATCTCAAAATACAACCTCTAATGAGAAACCCAGTGCACAATGAGAAAACAGACAAAACACCTGCCAAAATAACGCCTTTCTATCCATTGTAAGGCCGGAGAGACGACAAAATGTAAGAATACATACTGCTTTATCATAGGGACTGAAGTCTGGTGCCCAACGCCCATATCTGGTGGCTCACAACTGCCACTAACTCCAGTTCCAAGAGTTCTGACACCCTCTTCTGGCCTTTAAAGTACTGTGTGTGTGCACGTGTGTGTGTGTGCGCGCACACACGCATCTATTTTCAGATTTCCTCTTTCCACAAGCTTGGGTGGTTTGACAGGGCACACTGATCTATCCTACCTCTGATCCGTCTCCTTTTGGATCTCTTTATTGAGATCATCCACTTTCTGCTGCAGCTTTTTCCTTCTCTGCTCAGGCGGGAGGTTGCTGAAGTCTTCTGGTGTGGCACCCTGCAGACACAAACATAAGTAAGAAGCCAGAAAGCCTTGAGGTGCTCCTGGGCAGGAGGCGGCAAACCGAGCCTGCAACCTGCAGAGGCTTCCCACAACCAGCTATGCTTTCCCGCCACACCAGCTGAGCCGTGAAAATCAAATACATGCAAAACTCAGAAGTCCCGCCAACCGCTGCCTGTCATCTCCGAGGACCAGAGCACTGCAGCAAAGGCCAGGAGCAACCACACTCCGGGGAGGAGGTGGAGGCAGCCCAGAAACATTTGCATCTTCTGACTCTTCCCACCCGTTCCTGAAGAGTAGGAAGCTGGCGCTTCTGTAATATAGTCCAGTTGTTGTGAACATTGTGCCTGAACCTCTGCTCCTTCCTTAGCTGAAGTATTTCTTCCAGTCTCTCCTCTCAAGGCTGAGGCAGAGTTCCCAGCCGTGGGAAATGACAGGTGCCCCGTCACTTTCCTTTAAGGATGTGAACGGGTGGGGCATTGGTGGCGCACGCCTTTGATCCCAGCACTTGGTAGGCAGAGACAAGTGGATCTCTGTGAGTTCAACTCCAGCCTGGTTTACAGAGCGAGTTCCATGATAGGCTCCAAAGCTACAGAGAAACCCTGTCTCAAAAAAAAAAAAAAAAAAAAAAAAAACCAAACAAGCAAAACAAACCCCTTCTGATGTTTCTGGTCCCTCAAAATTACTTCCCAGTGAACAAAACCAACCTCCTCTACTTTTATGGTCAGGAGTGTTTTACCACCCCCTTTCCTGCAAAGCTAAACCTGGGGCCTAAGCACACTACCCAAGCATTTTGCCCCAGGTTATAGTCTCAAACTCGCGGTGACATGGTTTTCCAGGTACTGGCATAGGTGTGAACCACCACATCTGGCTCCTGGTCCCCTGCCCCAATTTAAAAGATTTTATTTTAAAATTGTGCGCGCGCACATGTGGACATGTGGGATGCGTGCCAGCAGAGTCCAGAAGAGGGCATCAGATTTCCCTGGAACAAGGTACAGGTAGGTGGTGGTGAGCCACACAATGTGGGCGTTGGGAACTTGGGTCCTTCGCAAGAGCAATGCATTCTTCTAACTGCCGAGCCATCTCTCCAGCCCCTCACCCTACCCCCACACACTTCCAGTTTTTAGCACTGGCTTGGTCCGGTACTTGCTATGCAGACCAGCTTGGCCTTCGAGTTGAAGCAGTCCTTCAGGCTCGGCCTCCTGAGCGCCAGGACTGCAGACAGGAGCCGCCACACCTGGCTGAGCTCTCTGAAAATCCCACTGCACTCTTGCCTTTGTCCATGTGCCTTCAGTAGGAGACACCAGGAGTTGGTCTCCTTCCAAAGACTGCCTCCTTGCTGGAGAGCCATGGCTTCACTGTAGTGCCAAGAGCTTTTCCTCAAGTGAGGCCATTTTCATAAAGAATGAGACACATTCAACAGGCCCAGCGAAAGCCAGGAGAGATTTTACAAGAGAGATTTTACTTGAAAACCTCAATTCTTTTCAAACAAGGGCGAGATTGACTTGGGGGCGAGAAGAAAGGGGGCCCAGGGAATGTGATTCCGGAATCCACTGGGGTTTGCCAAGTGGTTCACTCGGGGACTTGTGACAGAAGCTTGTAGGCCGATTATGAGGAAGATGGACGGGCTGGGAAGAACACGAGTCAGCAAATATTTGCCTCTTGGGCCAAATGGAGATCAGAGCCCCATCCTGAGTGTGCGTGCTGGTCGAGGGGAGAGAGGGCGGGTGACATTCCTGTCTCCAAGCCAAGCAAGCGGGTCCCTCAGTATGACGGAGGCTGAGGCAGTTTCCTTCTCTGGTGTGTGCTATTTGAAAATCTCCGTGTCTATCTTTCTGGTCCCTCTGTTCAGGTGTTGGGCTGGGAGGGAAACCTGTCTTCACAATTATTATTTACTATACAACCTGTGGGAGTCAGCTCCATCTTTCAGCCATGTGTGTTTATGGAATGGAACTCAGGCCATGGGGGCTTAGCGGGGCTTAGCACCAAGCACCCCTACCCCCAGCCATCTTGACGACCCTGATACTTGTTTTCTAGATTGAGATTGCACACGTTCAGGAAACCCCCCCCCCCCAGGGGTTCTTATCTTCCCTTGTTTGGACAGAGTATGTTTCTCCATTGCATGCTCTATCTCCCAATGGGGCACTGGTCTTGAGGACATGCACGCTGGGCATGGGGTTTTTACATCAGCTCTGGAAATTTAGACTCAAGCTCTCCTGTTAGGCTTACAAACACTTTCACCTTTAGATCTATCTTCCCGGCTGAGATTTCTGGAGGTGTTTGTTTGCTTGTTTTTAAAATCTGGGATGTAACAAAATTCAATACAAGTCACTGGCCTGTGGAAGCGAGGCAATCTGTCAGTGGCCAGAGGGCCTCTAGCCCAGTCTGTGGTGACGGAAAGGGTGTGGCTGCAGTGTCTGGGAGAGAAGCGGCCGAGACTGCCTGCGCTTGAACATGGCTGGCTCAGCAATGACCTGGATCTTTTGAGTATATGTAGAACAGGTGTGAGGCTTGGATGGCATCTAAATGGCAGAGACACCTGTAAGGAACACTCTGGGCTGGTGGCCCATAACTAGCCATAGCAGAGACAGCACTGGTTACTACTGACAACCAACAGAACAGCCTAGCTGATCTACACGTTATCTCCAACTGATAAAGCAACAAGTGACCAGCCAGGTCCCGTCAACGGCTACCCTCGCTATTCAAATACCACTGTTATTTGAAAACAAGTCACTGGAAAAGTCTCAAACCTTGGTTGCTATGGCGATTCAAGTCAGTAGCTTCTCATATAAACTTAGGATCAGTAGAAAGGGCGTCTCACCCAATTAGGCTTTTGAAGTTTACATTTTCTCAAAGCTCTGGCGTGTGACTCATTTTGTGGAGATGGGGCTCTTGTTTCTAGCTCTGAGTCAGTAAGGGTGTCTCTGACGTGACTGGAATAGCCCAGTTTGCAGAATGGTGGAACCAGCCATGGAAGGTGTGGTCACACACACCCAGGTTAAATGGCTCCATATTCAGCCTTGCTTCCTCTCAGGGCGGCACCTAAATTGCCCCTGGACATAAGTCCTGGGTGGAAACAGGTTCTAGAGATATTTGCTTTTACAGATAAACCCATTTCCTATCCAACACTCTGTGTGTGTTTGTGGATGTGCATATACTAAGGTGTCACCCAAGCAGGAAGTCGGATGTCTTCCCTCTCTCTAGCTTACAGCCTTGAGACTGGCTTTTCGGTGAGGCTGGCTGTCCAGTGCACCTCTGGAGCTCACCTCTCTCCACCCCTCAGTGCTGGGATGACCTGGCTTTTGAGATGGTGCCACTGAAGGGGAACCTTCATGGGAATCTAAACTTGAGTCCGTATGCTTGTAAGGGCAAGCGCTCTTACCCACCGAGCTTCTCTCTAGCTCCCAGTGTTTCGCTTTTTCATTGACTTCAAAGAACGGCACAGAAGCAATAGCTTACTCCTGAGCTAGTGAAGGGTGTGTATTCCGAAAGGATCCATGTTCCCAAAGTCCTTATTCATTCTCAAAGCATAGTGGGTTATGTTGGTTAGGATTTTCCTTTAACAAATTGAACAATTACTCTAGGGCTACACCGTGAAGGAAAAGCAAGACACAGACATTAGGCAGTCAGCTCAAGCAAGGGTGGACAAAGGGCTTCCCTTTCTCTATCAGAGGACCTGTGGCTCTGAACTCACCTTTACTCAAGGCATCCAGAGACCTACGCAGGTCCTCAGGAGGTCTCAGTTCCTGCCGGTTTTTCCTACCAAAAACCTGAGTAGTCACTACAGGCGTGATACACACCCAAGTGTCTCCTTCAGGCTCCTAGATTGTTTTTTTTTTTTTTTGTTTTTTTTTTTTTTTGTGTGTGTGTTGTGCTTTTTTGTTTCATTTTGTTTTGTTTTTTGTTAGTTTGGTTGGTTGTTCTGTTTTGTTTTTAAGACAGGGTTGCTTCTTGTAGCCCTGGCTGGCCTGGAACTCATTATGTAGACCAGACTGGCTCCAAACTCACAGAGAACCTCCTGCCTCTGTCTCCCAAGTGTCTCCTTTAGTGGTTCCCAGGAAGAAGTACCTTCCATCTATTTAAATCGACCCAGTGGGAACATTCCCCAATTTCTGACATTTACATTCTGATGAATATCAACAGTAGATTAATACTTGGCATAGTCATAAGGCCCCCACAGCAAGGAGAACCAAATCACGTTAAGTATTAATTTTCTTAGTGAATAAGACAGTCACACATCCAGAGGTCAAATAAACACCAACAAAAGCGCCCGAAGGGAAGTCGAATGTGAGCAGTTAATATTGGAGGCAGGGTGCCCAGGGCATAGCATCTATAACACACACCAAACCCCAATTAGACTAGGGACATGCACGGGGGACTTTATGCTTACCAGCTTGAGAGAAAGCTTCACGGAAAAATTGAAGAGGTAACAAACGGGAAGAGAGAAGGAGAGAGAGAGAGAGAGAAAAAAAAAACACAGGTCAGAAGAGGGGGCACTTGGCCAGTCCCACAGGACTCGCAACATCAGCTCACCTGCCAGCTTGTGAAAATGGCCAGGGCAGATCTGTGCAAAAGTTCACAGGAGGGGCTGGTCGTACAGAAACGTCTTAGGTGGCTTGGGAGCCAGAGCCACGACAAAGTGTGAGTGGAGAGCCCTCCTGACCCTGCACTGCCGCCCCCACTGGCCGCCCGTGAGAACCAGCTTGCTGGGGAGGGTGACCTGAGGTGGTGCTGGGAACAGAACCCAGGGCCCTAACTCTGCCAGGCACAGCAGTGACACACAAGGACCCTGAAAGGAAGAGAACCGCATGGCACTTTGTTCACCGCATCTCCCCCAGGACATCTAGGCAGATCCTTTTAAAAATTTTAGTTTTGAGACAGGATTACCCGATGGTCAGCAGAGGCTGGGATGGCCTTACATTTTCAGGAAGGCTTCTCCTCTGCTCCTGAGTGCTGGGGTCACCGGCACGCTCCCCTACACACCCTCTCACATGGGTGCTTTTTAATTTTTTAATAGTATTTTTCTTTTTATTTTGTCAGGTGTGGTGATGCACGTCTTTAATCCCAGCACTTGGGAGGCAGAGGCAGGTGGATCTCTGTGAGTTCCAGACCAGCATGGTCTACAAAACGAGTTCCAGGACAGACAGGACAGTTACACAGGGAAACCCTGTCTTGAAAAACCAAAACCAACCAAACAAAAAACATAGCGAGTATGGCGTCTGCAGAGGCCAAAAGAGGGCAACGAAACAGAAACAAGATCTGTAAGATCCACTGGGGAGAGTTCAGCACAGGACACGGACTTGGTCTCTAGCAGTGCAGAGGGCCCTAGTAACTGATAGCTGGGTACAGACATACCCAGGACAAAATGTCAAAGAAACCACACTTGGATTTTTATGCTGCATAGAGAGGGGTTAAAATTTCTCAGCCAGCGTTTGTACTTTTCCATTCTTAAGGTTATTCACAGTTGATACTTCTAGCCAGGTTTGGTGGCTCACACTCGGGAAGCAGTTGAGTTCCAGGCCAGCCTAGATTATTACACAAATCCTGTCCCAAAACAAACAAAACAAATAAATAAATAAGGTCAACACTTCTTTGTAAATAGGCAATTGCCTTTTAAAGACACAGTTCCCACACGGAAGGAAGAGATTGACCGGACAGCTTTTCAAAAGTCTGCACAGGCCATGCCCATGAATTGTTGAGCCTCCTGGAGCTCCCGCACAGATTGTCCCTCACAAGCCGAGCTCGCCTTCAGACAGACCACACTCATGTCGTAGAGCAGGAGACGGCCCCCATGAAGCACGCTAGCGCATACTAGTATTTCCTCACGCAGTCTTATTGCGAATTCCAAAAACCTGACTCACTATTTACTCTCTATAGGGCTCCCTTTCGTGATTGGAGATTAGAACCGAAATCTCCTAGAACCAAATTTGTGAAGCAATAAAAGGTTACCATTTCAAAATAAGAACAAGTGATTAGGGGCTGAAGAGATGGCTCAGCGGTTAAGAGAACGGGCCTGAGTTCAATTCCCAACACCCACATGGTGGCTCACAACCATTTCGTAACTGTCATGAGATCCAATGCCTTCTTTCTGGTGTGCAGATGTACATGCAGACAAGAACATACACACATAAAATAAGTAAATAAATCTTAAAAAAAAAAAAACAAGTGATTAAAACTGGGCATCTGCTCCAATAGAAACAGGAAATACTAAATCTTGCACTTGGCTTTTGGAAACACCAAAACCCTCAAATTCCGTTTTTCTGAAGTGGGCGGTGACAGACCACCTGCCGGAGGTGTCACCGCGATGTGTGGAATTCGTTTTTAAACACGAGTAAGCATTTTCAGGTTATAGGTCATAAGCCAGTCAATTAGGTCACTTCCAATTAGTAAGCAAGTCTTCTCGTAGAATAAAGGCAAAGGCCTCATGGAGTGTGTGAACAGACACCATCAGCTTCAGGCGACAGTCAGGGGCTCTGGGAGAAGCAAGCATCAATAACACAGAGCCAGCTTGTCCGTGTGTCATTGGATGGTCACAGCTACTAACCTCAAGCGCAAAGAAAGGGGACGGTAAGTGCCTAAGCACATACGCCTTAGTGAAATCTACTGGGACCCTCTCTGCTCGTGCCTCCTTGAGTTTTTGTTCTCCAAGCTCAAGGCACGACTCCCTAGGAACCCGCTGGCTGCACACACCGATGTGGATCCCAGCAAGGTCATATCGTCATGCCATAAACTGTCTCTTTCCGGTGACTACGTTCTGCAGCTGGGTTTTATGGGTAAATCTCTGCCATAAATTCATACCCAGGGACACCACGGACATTTCAGGTGGCAGTTGCAGGCTTCTTAAAGATTTTACCAGAACTAAGACAAAAAAGGGGCATTCTGACAGTGAGCCCACTCAGTGGATGTCACTGGGGCATTGGACGTCTATCAGGGAGCCTGGGTTTCTCTATGCAAGTTGAGGGAATTTATACCCTAAGACCCCCTCCTTGCCCTGGGATGCAGTTGTCTCAGTTTGGAGTTTTGTTCAGTGGGATGGAAGTGTTACAGCTGCACCTGTGTCCCCAGTCTTGGCGCTGTCCAAGGGGTTAGTGGCTTGGCTGTGACTGCGTTCTTGCAGCACAGGCAGACTTACAACATAGGCCCTAGCCTCGAAGGCATGCGTGGGCTTCCCTAGAGTCCTCTTCATGAGCTCTCTGTGATAACACAAAGACTGAGTCTGCCAACAGTCAGCAAGAAAACAAGGAAGATTAAAAAAAGGAACCGCACATTCATAACGTGACACACAACAACAGATTTCCAGAATGTCTTGCTCTGCTTTGGTGGCATTTCCTAAGGTTAACGTTAAAATACAGGAGGGATCACCTAGACAATTGCTTTTCGTAGGCGAAAGGAAATCTCTGTTTAAGACAATAGTATTAGCCTTTGTATAGTCAAGCTCAGGACACGTTTTTATCTACCTATCCATCTATCATTCGTCCATCTATCCATCTATCTACCTGGGCACATATCTATCAATCTATCACCTCTATATCTCTATATCTCAATCAATCAGTCTATCATCAAACATCTATCTATCTATCTATCTATCTATCTATCATCCATCCATTCATCTCTATCTCCCCCATTCCTCTTTGGTTTTCCTCTCATACAGCTCACACTGGCCTCAAACTCGACCCTCCAGTTTCTACCTCCTAGGGGCTGGGATCACAGGTGTGTGCATCCACACCCAGCTCTGAGGATACTCTCTCTACTTTAATCTTTTTTTTTACTCATGTAAAGATGGAATACTAAAGTCTGTCAGTGTAGACTCTCTGTAAATACCCCCAGAAAATAGCTTACAACAAAAAATCCAAAATATTTAATCTTATTTAATTATTCAGAAGTAAACCAAGCTATGCTAAGAAATATTTGCACATTGAGTCAGGTGTAGTGGCGTTGTCTCAGAAAAAAATAAAGAAAAAGAAAGAAATGGTTTCACACAATTTCCACACTCTGGTAATTAAACCAGATACTTAGAATTCAACTTTGAAGGCTGTGCAATGTGAAATGAAATTAAAAGACACACTACAGAGTACAGGACAGATGGTTCAATGGTTAGAAGCACTTGCTGCTCTTGGGCAGGATCTGGGTTCGATTCCCAGCACCCACACGGTGACTCACAGCCATAGCTAACTCTAGTTCCAGGGTATCCATGCCCTCTTCTGAACTCTGAAGGTTCTAGGCATACAAGTGGTACACAGACATGCACACAAGTAAAACACACAGACAAAAAATAAAATGAAAACACCTGACTGCCGGGCGATGGTGGTGCACGCCTTTAATCCCAGGGAGGCAGAGGCAGGTGGATCTCTGTGAGTTCTAGGCCAGCCTGGTCTACAGAGCTAGTTCCAGGACAGGCTCCAAAGCCACAGAGAAACCCTGTCTCAAAAGACAAACAAACAAACACCTGATCAAAACAAAACAAGATACACCACGGTTACAGTTATTCTCCCGGAATCCTCCCTTGAGCGCCTCTGCTCAGGAGTGGCCCTCTCAAGTTCCAGGGCAAGAGAAAGCAAAATGGAAGCAAGGACTCCATTCCCACTCATCATGGACCCAGCGCCTCCCACACAGACGCTGCTGAATAACCTGGTCTAATTCCCCAGACTTTGGTTTGTGATGTTTTCAAAGGCTTAATGTTCCCCCTTTCCTTCCTCCCTTCCCGCCCTCTCCCGTAAGAAGAAGCATCAGCTCCGACCCTAAGGGCTCATCACAAGTGATGGAGGCACAACTATTCTTCATGCCCCTCAGTGTCGAAGCTTCTAGCAGGCCGCTTGTCACTGGGAGAAGGCACTTACCATCCCGGAACGTTTCCATTAAAAGGAATTTGCTAAGCATAGATTTGAGGAGTAAGAAATAAAATTCATTTTGCTGATTTTTTTTTAAAAAAACTTCCTTTAAATCAGACTTAAACCATTTTTTCTTGTACTAATTGAACGCAGGCATTCTCTGCCTACACACTCAGTGGACACCCTGAACACAGACACAGAGACCGTGGATGAGCGGTAGACCGTGTGATGCAGCATCAGGACCAGAGGTGCAAACAGATGATGGCTGTGAGAACACCTGACACATTTCTCCATGAGCGTCTGACAGACAGATGCAGATGTTCATAAACACGAGTGACTGTGTGGTAACACGATGGAACTGACTCTGAGCCCGGCTCACCCTGGTTACATCCATGGACATTCTCTGATGAAGAGTGGAGTTCTAAAAGCCCGCAAAAATCAAGCCAAGAAGCTGCCGATTGCTCAGCCAGTCCCAACAACAGAGCTCAGCACGATCTATAGCCCACTTCTGAAGCTACTCTGCCTGCTGACAGTGGCTCTCCTGACAGTTTTAGGAAATTAAATTTGATAATAAAAAAATGATCACATTTATTTATGCAGTGTATATGTGCGCATGCGAGTACCAAGGCGTGAACGTGGAGGTCAGAGGACAACTTGTAGGAGCTGGTTCTCTCCTTCCACCAGGGAGGTTGTTAGGGTGAACCACTGCACCAGCCCAAACTTCTGAGCTTTAACTTGATATACTAAGTTGCTTAAAGCAAAAATAATTCTTTCAAATGCATCCTTCCTTCCTTCAACCTTGATGTTTGGACCCTACTATTTTTTTTATTTCCTCATCTATTTTATTTATTTATTTATTGTGTGCACGTGGAGGGCAGTGGGCAGCTTTGGGGACTGGGTTCTCCCCTTTCACTGCTTCTGTCCTAGGGACTGAACTCAGGTTGTCAGGACTCAGCTCCAAGCACTTTTAGTTGCTGAGCCATTATTATTTTATTTTTGAGACAGGATCCCACATACCCTACACTGGCCTCAAACTTGCTCCGCAGCCAAGGATGACCTTTGAACTTCCGATCTTAGCGGCACTCACCACCGTATCATGTTTTATGGTGTGCCGGGGTTGCATGCCAGGCAAGCACTCTATCCCCAGCAGATTTCTGTTCTTCTGAAATGGGATCCCATTATGAAGCCCGGGCTGATCTTAGTTTGGTGGCAATCATGCCTCAGCCTCTGGAGTGCTGAGTTTAGCCATGGACCAGGAGGCCGAGCCTATGACATGAAGTCTTTTAGCACAGGAATTTACCAGCAGATGGACTGAAGACAAATGCTCATCGGATTAGCTCAGGTTAGGAATCTCTTCCTATGCCAGTGGATGTTGGAGCAGGAAACACAACACTTTCCATTCATGAGGAACACTGGGCCTGTCTTTGCCAGATCATGCTGCTTACCAGCCCAAGGTCTGGTACCCAACTTCAGCTCTAGGGGTAACTTAGCTTCTGGGCATCACATAGAAACAAGTGTCACAAATTGGGAGTGGCTGCTCACACCTTTAATTCCAGCAGAGGCAGGCAGATGTCACATAAAAACAAGTGTCACAAATTGGGAGTGATTGCTCATGCCTTTAATCCCAGCAGAGGCAGGCAGAAGCCTCTGAGTTCAAGGCTGCTATCTATGTGGGATGACTGTCCTGATTCCTGTAGGGTTTTAGGTGTGATTTACTCACACAATCTCATCCTGCAAACTGGGTGGCTTGTTATTTGTTTGTTTGTTTGTTTTGAACATAATCTCATATAGGCCAGGATAGCTTGGAACCTGTTATGTAGCCAAGGATGACTTTGAACTTCTGATCCTCGGAGGACGGGTGTGCAACATCACACCTGATTTCAAACCTGAGTCTTAACATCAAGTGTGTTCTAAGAATTTTTCCCACTGGTGCCACAGACTCTCAGACCGTGTGAGCAGACTCTCTGGCTCCATGGCTTCTCTTTGCATACTTTGCTGCAAAGAGAGCTCAGAACAGAATGGGGGCGGCCTTGGTAAATGTCACTACTGTTGTGCCTGTCCCTTTGCAAAGAGATGCAGGTTTAGTGACTCTTGAAAGAATGTTCAGGGCCACAAATGCTTCAGACTTTATGGGGAGATCTATGTAGATGGAATGAGATCCAAATTTAAATTTGAAACTCACATGTTTTATATACTCTTTTTGGTCTTGGTTTCGGTGTTTTGAGACAGGGTTTCTCTGTGTAACAGTCCTGGCTGTCCTGGAACTCATTCTGTAGACCAAGCTGGCCTCAAACTCAGAGATCCACCTGCCTCTGCCTCCCAAGGGCTGCGATTAAAGGTGTGCACTCCCTCTGCCTGGCTTCTGTGTGTTTTTTGAACATGTAATTTGAACATGCTTCTGGTATCTGTGTTTCAGAGATGGAGCCCAGGTCTCAGGGAAACATCTACCTCTGGCCATGCCCACAGCCTGGTGCTGTGTTATGACCATAACACCCCACACGAGGTCAGGTGTGGAATTTTCCTCTCACGGTGTCATGATGGCGTTCAAAACACTTTGGATGTTTGAATTTGGATTTGGACTGCTCGACCTGTGCAGAGTTCAGCCCTTTCGGGTTGAGAGATACTTTATCACCATCCCTGAACTTCACAAGGGAACCAGTGTGCCTGGCTGCCTTCCTCTTTGCCACGAGGCTTCCTTAGGACAGCGGAGCCTGCGCTGCACTGTCTGGAATTAGTCAGCACGTATTTTCTGACTGTCCAGTCATTTCCACTTCCTCATCGTCTCCACTGTCAGTTTCAGAGACCTGATCAAAGTTGGTGAGATCAAGGAGGAAACGAATGGCTTGAAGGGGAAGTATGGGGTGCTTCCAGCATGGACTAGAGCACAAAATCTCAGGCCTGCTGACCTTCTTGTCCTCCCACCCCTCCGCTCTGCTTTGTTCCTTCCTTTCTTTCTGCCATTCTTTTGCTCTGTGGCTCTCTGGGAGCCTAGGCTCAAGCTTTCTCTCTCTCTAAATGTTATAGAAAAACACACTGGGGCCATTCACAAAACAAAGTAACTTATGAGACATGCAACACAGTGCGAGAGACGCAGGACTCCAGAGCGGAACTTACCCCACGCTTTAGGCTCCGGAAGCAGTGGATTTTGGGTTTGGAGGTCATGAACTCGTTGAAGCGGTGGGAGAGGGGTTCCTTTTGCTGCTTGGGAGACTGGGGGCCGTTGGGAACAGCAGAGGGTGAGGCAGAGGCAGGGGGAGGAGGGGGAGGCTGATGGGGGGATGTTAAAAGGGACACAAGCTACACGTGAGAGATGAGCGGTGACAGAAAAAAAAAATCAGAAACGAGAAGACAAAACAGAAATAAGCATCAAATCATATTCAAGATCCAAAGCAAGTAAAACACAAACCATTAATATCGATGCCACAGTACAAAAGAAATCATGGAGGATGTGTTCCACGAAGAGGGGGTAAGAAGGAGAGGCTCAGTGAGTACGCGACAGGACAGCAGAACCTTGTGACCCAAAGCTCATGCAGACAGCCACATGCAAGCTAAGGCTCTCGTTAGTCATTCCAAAACCAGTTTAAGCCAGAGGGGTAAAACATTTCCGCACCTAAACTAACACAGCTTGGTGAAGGGGCGGGGAAAGGGTCTAAATTATTGAGGTTTTGAAAAACAGCCACGGGACAGTCCTGTCCTGGGAAACTCAGACACAGTCTGACCTAAGGTTAATGCAGTAATGCCACCTCCATCCCGTTTTAGGTCACCGGGTTAACGCTGTCATGCACCTACATACCACGCTACGGAAAGAAAATGGGAAAATGTTCATGGAGACAGAGGTTAACATGGATTCAAAACCGAGCCCAGGCTGGCAAGCTTGATTAGATGGGGCATCCCCCTTGCTCCCGGCAGAGGGGTGGGTGAAGGGCTATGAGGTCAGTGATGTTAGTGTGGCTGACCCGTCCAGGTGACAACACATCTGTAATAAGACAGAGGCCATGGCAAAGACACCACCACCAGAAAGAGATCGTTTGCATCGTGGAATGAACGCAGCACGCTAACTGCTCTCTCTCGCTTTCTGGACGGAGAGAGCTTAGCTTGATTAAGACCAAAAGATAAACTCTGAGCCTCTGCTCCTGGTTGCCTCAGCCTGCTCAGGGTCTGAACGGCCAGTACCTTGTTTTTCTTGATGAATGGCCACAGCTTGCCTCTGGACTTGCCGCCAAACTTGAGCTCTGGCTTGCCTTCTTTTGAGCTGGAGAGGCTGTTTTCTGACACCGTGCGTTTCATCGGCTGGGTGTAGTCTTCGAATTCGATGTCTCCAGGAGGCTCGAACCCTGACTTGTAGGCTTCTACGACCAGCTGTGAGTCCTGCAATCATACGCGTGGACAACCAATCAACACCAGAGCGCAGAGGCCAATCCAAGAAAACCCTGCTGATACTGGGTTTTCCCCCTCTCAGCAGTGTGTCCGTTACTAGATAAACTCATAAATCTGTGCCCCCAGGCGAGAGCCAAAGGCGCTTTCCCCATCGCCATCAACCTCCCATGATGCTCTGCCTTCAAACAGAGTGATTAAAAGAAGCTTGATCGAGACTTGTAAATTTTTTTTTTTTTGAGAGATCTAAAACCAATGACAAAAACATTTCCAGCTCAAGGTAAGGGAGCTTGTCTGTAGGATGTAGCTGGAGGCAGGGAGGATGCTGTTCACTTTGGAGCATGGATAATTGTTTCTCATAAACTTGGCTGAGGTCTGGGAAGAAGGCAGAAAGCTAACACGTCTCCAGTGGGAGGCAAGGAAAGTCATAATCACAACTCTACACACAAAAACAGCGCCACAAAAGCACCGTGGCCAGGGACGCTCCCGCAAACAGCTGCCATTTAAAGCATTCTGAAGCAGCTGCACACACCAGACTGACAGAACTCTCTACAGAGGTTATAAAAGAGTGGAAAGGGGGAACTGAGCAGGGACTTTAAACGAAGCACTGTTTGGCCCAAGGGACTTTCGGCAACATCTGAAAGTGATATTGACCTGCTGGGGAATACTATTTTCAGGTATGTGACTTTTGTTTACGCTGCATTTGTTTAACTCTGTGAAGCTGTGATTCTTTGCCTGTCTAAAACACCTGATGGTCTAAGAAAGCACTGAACAGCCAATAGTGAGGCAGAGGCAAGGAGAGGCGGGGCTGGCAGGCAGAGAGGATAAATAGGAGGAGAAAGAAGGAATGAAGAGAAGAAAGGAGGACATCAGGGGTCAGCCACTCAGCCAGTCATGGAGTAAGAAATAAAGGTATACAGAAATAAAGACAAGGGGGCTGGAGAGATGGCTCAGTGGTTAAGAGCATTGCCTGCTCTTCCAAAGGTCCTGAGTTCAATTCCCAGCAACCACATGGTGGCTCACAACCATCTGTAAAGAGGTCTGGCGCCCTCTTCTGGCCTTCAGGCATACAGACAGAATATTGTATACATAATAAATAAATAAATATTAAAAAAAAAAGAAATAAAGACAAAAGCCCAGAGGGAAAAGGTAGATGAGTTAATTTAAGAGCAGTTGGCTAGCCGGGCGGTGATGGTGCACACCTTTAATCCCAGCACTTGAGAAGCAGAGGCAGGTGGATCTCTGTGAGTTCAAGGCCAGCCTGGTTTACAACGCGAGTGTCAGGACAGGCTCCAAAGCTACAGAGAAACCCTGTCTCAAAAAATGAAACAGCCGGGCGGTGGTGGCACACGCCTTTAATCCCAGCACTCGGGAGGCAGAGGCAGGTGGATCTCTGTGAGTTCGAGACCAGCCTGGTCTACAAGAGCTAGTTCCAGGACAGGCTCCAAAACCACAGAGAAACCCTGTCTCGAAAAACCAAAAAAAAAAAAAAACAAAAACAAAAACAAAAAAACGAAACAAACAGTTGGCTAGAAACAACCCAAGCTAAGACTGGACACTCATAAGTAAGAATAAGCCTCCATGTGCGATTTATTTGGGAGCTGGGTAGCAGGATTTCCCCCCCAAAACAAAAGTAAAACATCATAAAGCACTAACTGTCCCAGTGAGGGGATGCTACCAGCATCTAGTGACAAACATTGCACACTCAGCAAGCAGCTGGGCTGCTGGTGCCCTAACGAGCTTTGTCTTTTTCCAGAAATCCATTTCATCTGGCGATGGATGGAGATAGAGACCCACACTGGAGCATCGGACTGAGCTCCTAAGGTCCCAATGAGGAGCAGAAGGAGGGAGAACATGAGCAAGGAAGTCAGGACCACGAGGGGTGCACCCACCGATACAGTGGGGCTGATCTATTGAAAGCTCACCAAGGCCAGCTGGACTGTGACTGAAAAAGCATGGGATAAAACCGGACTCTTTGAACATGGTGGACAATGAGGGCTGATGAGAAGCCAAAGACAATGGCACTGGGTTTTGATCCTACTTCATGTTCTGGCTTTGTGGGAGCCTAGCCAGTATGGATGTTCACCTTCCTAGACATGGACGGAGGGGGGAGGACCTTGGACTTTCCACAGGGCATGGAACCCTGACTGCTCTTCGAACTGGAGAGGGAGGGGGAGAGGAGTGGGGGGAGGGGGAGAGGAGTGTGAGGAGGGGGAGGGAAGTGGGAGGCTGGGAGGAGGCGGGAATTTCTTTTTTTTTTTTCTTTCAATAAAAAAAGAAAGAAATCCATTTAATTCAGTGACAACCCTGAGTGTTTTGCACAAAAGGACCGGGGAACTAAATCCAAACACTGAGGGCTCAAAGAGGGCTTTCAGGTGCAAAAGTATAGTGACCACATTGCAGCTCCTTGCCCCAGGGTCAATGCCTGAGGTGGTGTTGGAGGGACAAGGAGAGAGGTGATGGAACTATGAGAAGCCTAGTGACTACACTTACATTTTTCTGGTCGATAGACTCGGCCGCCTTCACTATCCCGTCCAGGCATTTCCCGATGATGGGTATCACCTGCCGATCCACCTCCGCGTACGTCTTCATGGACTCTCCGATGCGCACAATCCGCCTTTCTTCCATCTCTTGAATTTTCTGCAGAAATTGGAGCGTGTCTAAAATGGTCTACTAATCGGGGAAGTTGTTTGGGGGTGATGTTGTGACTCTGCAAATACCGAGGGGAACAGACTGGAGTCCGAATAACCGGGTTTAGTGTACCGTCATAGACCGGCTGTGCTGTGCTCAGTGAACGGCTGGGATGCATAGTCAGCCCTTCGAACAACCGCACTGCAATTGCAGCAGGACTCCTGTGATGTGTAACATCGATTTTAATTGGCAGGACCCACAATCACTGAATATGGGCGTGTCTGTTTATGAAGAATTTTCTTAAATAGTTTAATTGATGTGAGATGACACTCCCCACTCCACATGGGTATAACTATAATTCATTGTGCTTGGAGTTCTAGACTGGAAAGAAAATCAGATCCTTAAGATACCTTAGCAGGCCTAGGTTCTTGTCTCCAAGCTCGATAACCCAAATTCAAACCCTGGAACTTGCTTAGCAAGGAGAAAACAGAATGTTCTCTGGCCACTGCGTGCACTGTGGTACAAGCACCTAACCCACCAGAACCACAGAGCAAGCAAATCAAGTGCAAAACAACTTTTTTACAGATAAGGAGAGGGGACCAGAGAGATGGTTCAGGGGTTAAGAGCACTGGTTGCCCTTTCAGAGGACCTGAGTTTGATTCCCAGCATCCAATGGGGACTCACAACCCTCTGTAACCCTAGTCCCAGGGGACTCAAAGCTCTCTTCTGGCTCCCACAGGAACTGCACATGTGGTGTGCAGACACGCATATAGACAAAACATTTACATGTTGGGGGCTGCAGACCCCTGCTCCCTTGACTTTCTTTGCCTGCCTCAGACCCTTTGCCTGCTGGAGTGAACTGAGCAAAACACCTGTGCCTGCAGCTGCTCTGAGCACAAGACCCTGACGGCAGGGGAGCAGGTTCTGGTGAGGCCTGCAGCTGAAAGATCCCAAGAGCTGGGACATGGCTATCAGTTAAGGATTCCCATATAACCTTCCCTGGAGCACAATAAACTTGGCACGCTTGTATCAAGGATGACCCGTGTCTCTGTCTGTCTGTCTGTGCATCTTTAAGTCTCCAGCTTAGTTCCCAGCTCGCGAATCGTCCAGTAGTGCAGGCGCTGCACTTACACATATAAAATAAATATATAGGAAATTCAAGTGAGCTGAGCACTAACATCCATCATCCCTCGCTTTCCATGTGACCGGCCTCTTCCCTCTGTCATGATGTCCCCGCCACCATGCTCTGTACGCTCAGCTATGAGCCGATAAACCCTTCCATCCTAAATCTGGCCTTGTGCGAATTTACCCCAGTGACAATGACAGTGACTATAGACCCCACCACAGGGGCTTTATGACATTATTGATTATTTTGTTGTTTTGAGGCAGGGTTTCATGCAGCCTAGGCTGGCTTTGCCTTCTGACCTCTTGCCTCTACTTCCCAAGTGCTAGGGTTTCATTAGAGTGCATACCCCACACCCAGCTTTATTATAAACAGCCTCAGCAACTCACGACCCCCCATGCTCTTTTACAAAAACATTTTGGTAACCATCTCAATGCAACCCAGGCTGAGCTAGAACCAGTGCTCTGTCCTCTGAGGCTCATTGGTGGCACGGGGAAATGAGAACCAATCAGATCCAACTAGGGGAGTTGCTTCAATCAGTTGCCTTGGCTTTTCCACATTTGAAACTCAAATCATAAATGGTTCCCCAAGTGGGGAGCCAGGCATGGTGTAAACACAACTGTAACCCTAGGATTCTAGAGGCTAAGGCAGGAGGATTACTAGTTTAAGGGCAGCCTGAGCTACATAGCAAGACTCTGTCTCAAAAACCAGGCAAAATTCTCCAAACAGGAATATAGGTCTGTATGTATGTATGTATGCATGCATGCATGTATTTTTACTGCCTGTCATGTTGGGGAAGGAAGGTCAGCATAGGCGTGACAAACCAGGGTTCTATAGAGAGCTGCATCTATCATGCATATCTTTCATATCATTTTTGACCACTTAAGGCAGTCAAAGAAATGATCCAGGTGTTTGGGGATATGGCTCAGTTGGTAATGTGTTTGCCACACAATCAAGGACCTGAATCTAACCTCCTCTAATCATGTAAAACTGCCAGGGTTGGGTGGGGTGGTGTACAATAGTGAGACCATCGCTGTAGAGACAGAAAAATGATCTCTAGAGCGGGCTGCTGGCCAGCCCAGCCACACGGGAAGCTCCAGATCAGCAGAGAGAATCTGCTTCCAAAAACTAAGTGGCTGGGTATGGTGGTGCACGCCTTTAATCCCAGCACTCAGGAGACAGGCAGGTGGATCTCTAAGTTCAAGACCAGCCTGGTCTACAGAGTGAGTTCCAGGGCAGCCAGAGGTCCATAGTGAGACTCTGTCTCAAATAAATAAATAAATAATAAATAAATAATGTGTGCACACACAGAGAGAGTCTTAAAAAAAGAACAATTCAAAAGAAACAATGCTTGTTTGTTCGAATCGCACAGCTCTGACTGCCGCTTTGTCTCCTAAAGCTAAGCTGGTATTTCTTGCAGCCAAGTGTCCTTTAAAAAGGAAGCCGTCTTCTAAGAGGCATTGTCGTAAGATAGCAACCCCTGCAAAAAAACGCAGGCACAGTGAAGACCCAGGACGTCTACACAGGCACCCGATGAACCCCAAGTTAGCAATATGCTTCATTCTTATTGCTGGCCATTGCTTGATCTACATGCCATGGGAAAGAGCTCAGTGGGGGCTGGGGGGTGGTTCACTAGGTAAGGGGCTTGCTGCACAAGCATGAGGACCCGAGTTTGATCCCCAGAACCCATATAAAAAGCTGAGTGTGATGGAGTGAACCTGTAAGCCCTGTGCTGGGGAAATAAAACCAGGAGACTCCATGGGCTTGCTGGCCAGCCAGCATATTCTAATGCATTTGCTGGAGAGATGGCTCAGAGGTTAAGAGCACTGGCTGTTCTTTCAGAGGTCCTGAGTTCAACTCCCAGCAACCACATGGTGGCTCTCAACCATCTGTAGTGAGATCAGATACCCTCTTCTGGTGGGCAGGTGTGCCTGCAGATAGAGCACTCGTATACACAAAATACGTAAGTAAATCTTCAAAAAAAACTTATTTATTAATTTTATGTGTATGTCTGTGTGAGTTTATATATACCATGTGTGTGCAGATGTTCACAGAGGTGCCTATGGAGGCCAAAAGAGGATGGCGGACCACCTGGAACTGGAGTTGCAGGCAATGTGGGTTCTGGGAACCAAACTTCAATCTCGTACAAGAGCAGCAAGCGTTTTTAACTATAGAGCCATCTCTGCAGCCTGTCACTGAGAGACCCAGTCTCACATAAAAGGGTGGGAGAGTGGAGAGGTCGTTCAGCACTTAAGAGCACTGTCTGCTCTTGCAGAGGACCTAGGTTCGATTCCCAGCACCCACATGTCCACTCACAATCATCTGGAACTCCAGTCTGAGGGGACCCAAGGCCCTCTTCTGATCTCCAGGGGCACTAGGCATTCATGTGACACACAGATACCCAAGTGTACCTCTGGCCTCCACGCACACATATATGTGCACCCACTCCCAGTAAATGACTAAGTGGACATTTGGGAAGCTAGGTGTGGTGTGCACACCTGAGGCCAGGACTCAGGAGGCTCAGGCAGGTGACTGTCAGCCTAGGTAAGCAGTGACCTCCAGGCCAGCCTGAGCTGCAGAGACACAGTGACCTCCAGGCCAGCCTGAGCTGCAGAGACACAGTGACCTCCAGGCCAGCCTGGGCTGCAGAGCGAGGCCCTGTCACTTGAGAAGCAACTGTGGAGTGCTTACCTGGAAGATGTTGGGAATGTGGGTGTGGTAGTATTCCCACTGCTCCTGGTTGAATCTCTGCAGGATTGAGGAGTAATCGGCTTTGCTGTCCTCTGCCATTTGGTGACGTAATTGAGCTTGCTGCCGCGCCTTGGGGCAAAAACAAGAACATCCGATTTACACAGAATAAACAAAAGCCTACAATGGCACACCAGGGCCCAGGCCACTTCACACAGTTCACAGTAGCAAGTGCATTGGAAAATGACTTCTTAGGCTAGGCATGGTGGCACACATCTTTAATCCCAGCACTTGGGAGGCAGAGGCAGGAGGATCTCTGTGAGTTCGAGGCCAGCCTGGTCTACAGAGCTAGTTCCAGGACAGGCTCCAAAGCTACAGAGAAACCCTGTCTCGAAAAACAAAAACAAAGCAAAAACCCTCCACGTGAGCTCTGTCTGCATTGCATCTTTCTCTTTCAGGCTGCTTTTGTTTTTTAAATTACAACATTGGTTCCCTTAGTGGCTGCAGCTGAAGACATATCCTGTCAGTACCCCAAAGACAGTCCAGTACAGATGCCTCCTGATTTTTAACATTTATTCATTTTGTAGATGAGTGTGTGTGTGTGTATCATGTATATATATATATGTACATATGGCATGGCACACATGTGGAGGTCGGAGAACTTGGTTCTCTCCTTTCACCATGTGGATTATATCACACTCACGTCATCAGGCTTGGTAGCAAACACCCTTACCCACTAAGTCATCTCAGGGCCCTCAGGTAAAGTTCTCTTTTAAACATATATGGCTGTCTAGTCTGCATGTATATCTATGCCCTATATGTGGGCTGGCGTCCAAGGAGGTCAGAGACACTGGATCTCTGGAGCTGGAGTCATAGATGGCTGTGAGCCACGATGTGGGTGCTGTGAATCGGACCTGGGTCCTCTAAACGAGCAGCCAGTGCTCTTTAGAGTCAGTTTTGGGGTATCAGACCCACAGCCCAGCTCATCTCTCCAGCCCCCTCAGGTGGGTTTTCATTCTCAGAGTTTCTCCCTGGCTTCTGACCGGGTGGCCTTAGCCTGAGTCCCAGCTCCTCCACACATTTCGCTCTTGTTGGCGAGGCCAAGGGGACGGTACCCGGTGTCTTCCTTTATTTCCTTCCCTGCTCATGAACAAGCATCACCCAGTATTCCCAGGCGTTTCCTTATTACCTGGGGCTCTGTGATTCTGTAAGGTATGGACTCCTCTCAGCTAGCCAGGCTGTGTTTTAGCCACCACATTCTCCCCCTCCGCTGGCAGCCTGGCAGCTCATGTCCTGGCCATATGCTCTTCCTTCCGCTCTGACAGTCCCCCACCAAGTGCACTAACCAAGTCCCTGTGACATTCATCCCTTGCTACCTCCAAAAATCCGCCCCCTCATAGCAGACAGCAGTGATCTGTGAAAACAGCCGTGCCCCTGCCTGTCTTCCATCTGCCAAGGCTTCCAACGCCTCAGTTACCACTGCCGTGAACATTTTAAAGGGGGTTCCCATGTAGACTAAAACTTCTAAAATAACTCTGCTTCATTCAGAGACCTTCCTTGGAAAGTCTCAGAGTGGAGAGGAGGGAAAGGAAAGGAGTGGAGGGGAGGGAAAGGGGTGGGAGGGGAAGGGAGGAGAGGCGAGGGGAGGGAATCCCACTCCACACAGAACATAACTGTAAGATAAAATAGTTGCCTGTTTATTTCAGAGAAATGGTCTTAAAACAGATGGAATATCTTTTGGCAGAATATGTATGTGTGAATGTCCAAACACGTATACATGTACACGCACACACACATGCACACACAAACACACCCAGAAGATAAATTCACTCATGGCAATTTAACTGCTAAGAGCTGTGGTTCCCCCCTCAGCACCCCTCCCCTATACCCCCCATCCCGTGTCTGAGGCAAGCTGCTGGACCCCTCTTCCCTCAGCGCCTCCTCATAATGTTTCAGTCCAGCCATGTAATTGCTTTTGGAGCTTATTAACGCCTAACAGTTCTGGTGTCCTTCCCGGGGCAGCTGTGATGATAGAACAGCTCAGAGCCCCAGGTGTGAACGGCAAGGCGGTCCACGAGGAAGCAGACAGGAAACCCGCAGCAACTGAAGGGAAGTCTCAAGACAAGCATCTCCTGCCACCTAAGGCAGGCAGTGGGCTTCTCACCTCTTGGTAAACTTGTGTGAAAATAGCCCCAGGTAAGCGGGGCTTGGTGACACACACACACCTTTAATCCCAGGTCAGCCTGGCCTACATCGCAAGCTCCAGGAAAGTCAGGACTAAATAGACAGTCCCCGTCTCAAAAAAACTAAAACCTAAAACTTAAAGAAAAGAAAAAGAAAGGCCACGGTTTTCTCAGAGGCCCAAATTTCCCCTCCTACCCACCAACACCACTGGCTAGTCATTTAAAGCTTCTAAGAATACCTTACAAATAATATCACTGTAGTTCAAGGACACACAGAGGGGTTCCGTGTGTGTGTGGTATATAGTGTAGTGTGGTGTATGTGTGTGTGCGCGCGCATGTATGTGATGTATGGGTATGTGGTAAGTGGTGTGTATGTGTGTGTGTGAGTGTGTGTTTGCATGTATGTGATGTATGGGTATGTGGTAAGTGGTGTGTATGTGTGTGAGTGTGTGTTTGCATGTATGTGATGTATGAGTATGTGGTATGTGGTGTGTGTGAGAATGAACCAGAGTTTCAGAAAGTAAAGATCTACACAATTCAAAGGCCCACAATGCCCAAGGATGTAAGTCATGGACACGCCTGAATGAGTCTCATCTGGATGTTGTCAGAACATCCTTCATAATTCCTTTGAGAAACCCCGAGGAATCTCCCCAAGCAAACCCAAATGGGCCCAGCCCAGGTGTGGACCCTGCCGTGCACGGCTTCACTTTTGATTGAGACAGGATTTCTCTGTGTAACACTCCTGACTGTCCTGGATAGAACAGGCTGGCCTTGAACTCAGAAATCCACCTGTCTCTGCCTCCAGAGTGCTGGAATTAAAGGCACGCATCACCACCAACTGGCCGTCGCTTCAGTTTTTTAATAAAAAAAAAATTGGTAAATATCTTTTTTTTATAACTTAATGGGCATGTGTTTTAGCCCACCTGTGTGGCTGTGCGCATGTCTATTAGTTATGTCTGTGGGTCAGAAAGTCGCCAGGTCCTCTGGAGTCACAGGCAGTTGTCAGCTGCCACGCTGCTGCTGGGAACTAACTGAACCTGGGTCCTCGGCAAAAGCAGCTGGTGCTCCTAACCACGGAGCTGTCTGTCCAGACCCCTATGCGTTCACTTCTTACTGTGTCCACACTGGCTTCTGTGGGGCAGTAGATCCTTTGGTTTAAAGGGTTCCAGGGCCATTGGTAGTGGGAAAGTGCATGCAGCCCCGTGCTCCAACATGCTAAGGACAAGGTGGCTGTCCTCCATTTGGTCAGCTCATCTCATATTGTTCGAAGGGAGTGGCTACCACCTGGTTAATTCAACGTGAATTTCTTTGCTTAGGGTTCAGAACATGAAGGAGAAAATGACAGTGTGGGCCCCGTGCCCTCCTCCATCATTGGCCAAGAAGGCAGGGTGTACTGAGAAACTCATTTTGAATGGCTTTTGAGATACTAACAGATTAGCACGTGAGTGGTGAGATTTAATACTATTAGGTTGCTTTTAAGGCAGGGTTTTACTAAGTAGACCAGGCTGGCCTTGAACTCATTCCCCCTCCTCAGTGAGGGCACCACGGTGCATCCATACGGGCTTCTAAGACTCTGCAATGCCCTGCAGCCTGTCCTAGCTCCTGGGACTGGCAGATGGGCTTGATCTCGCTGCTGCAGGGTAGGCACTGAGGGAACCCAGCAGGGCCTCTGGATTCTGGTCCCACCTTGAACTCTTTGTGCCAAGAGAAAGGTAAACTCAGGAATTTAACAGTCGGGGTTAGTTAGCCTTTCTCCACCCTGCGTTCTTTCTCTTGGGATGATCAAAGTAACAAGAAAAAAAATCTGTTTGCTTAAAATAATTTAACTTTACAGGTTTTGTTTTTATCTGTTTTGTTTTGTTGAGATAGGGTTTCATATTATAATTTAAGCTAGCCTGGAACTGTCTATGTAGCCCAGACTGGCCTCAAATTCATGCAATCCTCCAGGCTGGGTTTCCTGAGTGTTGGGAATACAGTCACCATGTCCAACATCAGACTTACAGTTTGTGTAGTTTATAAAGTAGAACATTTCTGCTCAACCACCCCCTCCCCCGCCGAGAGCCTGCCTGCCTGCCAGACCCCACCCCTACACCCAGCCCCCTCTCCACCACTGAGAGCCTGCCTGAAGAGAACAGGACATACAGGCCACCAGATAGCAATAGTGTAATGGGATAGTAATAACATAGCATGGGAGGCAGAAGGTGGTGGCGCACACCTTTAATCCCAGCACTTGGAGGCAGAAACAGGTAGAACTCTATGAGTTTGAGGCCAGCCTGGTCTACAGAGTGAGTGCCAGGACAGGCTCCAAAGCTACAGAGAAACTCTGTCTCCAAAAACCCAAACCAAACAAATAAGCAAACAAAACAAAACAAAACAAAAAAACCCCATGGTATTACCTATTTTCTAGCCACTTTTACATCAGAAGATGCAAACCCACAGAGGAACCCAGGAAACTCTAACCAATAACGTGAGACTTCTCTAGACTTGCCAATGTGTCGGGGCTGGCCAGAATGACTAGCCCAGCTTCCAGCCCGCAAGCAACTTTACATCTGTGAACACATCCTAGTGAAGCCATTTTATTTATTTATTATTTATTTACTTATTTATTTTGATTTATTGAGACAGGGTTTCTCTGTGTAGCTTTGGAGCCTGCTCTTGCACTCACTCTGTAGACCAGGCTGGCCTCGAACTCACAGAGATCCGCCTGCCTCTGTCTCCAAGTGCTGGGATTAAAGGTGTGCACTACCACCGCCTGACTGGATGTGTTTGCTCATTTATTTATCTTTCATTTTTCAAGTAAGCTCCCTGGAAGCCTAGGCTGGCCTTCAGTTCCTTGTGTGGCTGAGGATGACCTGGAATTTCGAGACCTGAAAATTTTTAAAGGTTCCTAAGAGGTATCCTGCAAACCACGCATAAAGTGATGAACACCTGTCATCCCAGCATTTGGGA